CTTACTCTATCATGTGGAAACTTTACTATAAATAAAATAACTTATTTCCTAACAAAAGTTGGTAGTGTGATTTGACTTTGCATATGTACCCAAAAAAGCAAAAACAACTTTTTTTCTAGATTGGTTAATATATAAACAATATGATATAAAGTAACTTTTCAGATACCAGCTTCCAGTTTCTGTATTCAGAATGCTTTCATTGATCAACACATTTTTGGAACTGCACTTATGGAAATTTTGTAGATTTGTGCTGTGCTCATGTTGCTCTGAAGGTCCATAATATGGCTTTTTGTGAATGATGGCTGATTAAAAAGTCTCAAAGTCCTGAACTGAGGTCAGATTCACATAATACTTACTGTAGCCTTCACCTAAATAGGTCGTTTGAATGACAATGAAATTGGGTAACTTAGTTCTTAAATTTTCTATTTATGTCAGGAAATCAAGGAGGAGTAGCTATCTTTTTTTCCCTGACCCTTCTCTTGCCTCTGCTATAAAACTGCCAAGGTCCCTTGGGACAGTTGCTCTGTTTTACTTGTAAGGGGGCATGTGTGTTTTACTGGCGGATGAAGTGATGTATCCACATGCCAAATATAATTTTGCAAAGTCCTTTGACTTGACGGAGGTTGCACAAACAGGAGAAGACACTTGGAATAAGTGGCAACATGCATTCTTTGGAGCTTTTCAAATCCGGGAAATAACAAGTTAGGAAACAGAGTTCAGTAGAATCAGTTAGTGGTTCAACCTAACTATGTACTGGGCCTCCCTTTTCTATATCAAACCATATTGAGTAATCCATTTCCACAGATCTGGGTGGCTTCAGAAAATAATGGAAGCATATTTAGGTCACCTGTGGAGTAACTCATGTGGTGGTGTTGTTTTTAACCTAACATCACAGGAAGGGAACTGTCCCAACTTGCTTTGTCTGTACAGGATGCACTCAATAAATATCTGGTGTAATAAATCCAGGTCAGACAAAGTCCCCGATGCTGGAATACAAAGATAAATAAGACAAATTTCTACCCTGGAGGAGTTCACAATGTGCCGGTGGGGGGGGGGGGGGGCCCGGAAACCAGAGAAGCTAAAAAGGAGATATTAAGATCTGGTAGAAGCAAAGTGTTACTGGAATCTAGTAAAGGGTAAGATTGTTAGGTGAATCAGGGAAGGATTCCCAGAAAAGGTGCCATCCTTCAGGACCCAGTAGGCAGAGAAGGTAGAGGAAACAGGAAAGGGTGTTGAGGAAGCATCTATGGGGTCTCAGTGAGTGTCTTCATGGAACATGCTGGAGTTTAGTTGGATGAAGCATGAAAATGCTAAAAGGGAATTAATAAATCAGGTGTGGAAAAGTAGGCTGAGGTTGGGTTGTGAAAAGCATCATAAATCACACAAAGAAGTTTGAATTTCATTTTTCCCATTGAAAATTCCATTTTTAAAGCTCCATGTTGCCTGTAAGAGTGGGTTTCCCAGAGGCTGTTCCTGGGCATGCAAGTTTTATCAGATGTGCAAAGGGGTTATACCACAATACCTATTCAGCTTTTAGTTAAAGATGGAAAGGTAATCATCCAGAGAAGATAGTAGGGAACCTGGTTGTGAGAAATAACATTGGTGGGGAATCTCCTGAAACACGTACAGTCCATCTATCTCTTAGATAACTGAAGTCAAATCAAATTAAACTGTATACCTGGACCTAACAGTTCAGCCGCCTCCTTGGATGGATATTATGATCATATTTTTCAGTGAGAAGAGATTGGTCTGTGCTGAGAAGTGTAATAGGAGATGGTTTGGTGAGCCATTCATGTGTGCTTCGTTTGAACAGAGGGTTGGTCTTTATCTCAGAGGCAATGGGGGTGTTCGAATTGTTATGTGTCCTTCTCTGTCACCAACAGTGGTAAGCCTAGAGTCAAATTCCACTTCCAAAGGAGGGTCTTTAGGGCACGTGTTCTTGGGTGATGACAGGACTCAGGATTTTGTTTGACTTCCTACATTTGTATTCCCTTGGCTTAATCTACTTAGTTGATCCTATTGCAAGCTTTTGCAACCTCTCTCTGATCCTTTTGGGGGAGAAGAGCTGGGATTAGGAGACTACTGAATGTACATCACTTACCACCGTGCCATCACTTAGCAAATAAGGACTCTTTTTTGTTATTGTGGTTTTTTTATCCTGCCTCTGTTGCACAGTACCCCATGTTGACAGAAATGGAAAGGTAACATACAATGCGCAGAAATGATTTTCAAAATCTTTTTCTCATGGTTTTAAGTTCATCACACGGCAAAGTGGACAAGTATGAGGTGAAGAATTAGTGATTGCAAGTCTCCAATCCTTGTGCTGTGAAAGGGACGAGTCCCTAAGTCAGAGCTGGTAAACGGAGCTTCTCATCTAATTAGGGAGCTATGGTATCACTATGACTCAGAATCCTCATCTATAAAATGGGAATAACAATCAAACCTATTTTATAGAGTCATTGTAAGGATTCTGACTTTGTATATGTATATGTAAAGTGCTAAGAATAAAGTCTGGCACGGAAGTATTCAGTTAATACTAGCAGGGGCTCTAGAAAATGAGACAAGTGGGAAATCCACTTTCAGAGGAAGTCATCCAGGAAGGCTACCCAGAGGAGACGGGATTTAAACTCGGCTTGGAAGGATGGAGATAATTCAGTTGAGCAGAGAGAAGCAGGGGTGTTGATCCTTTTGGGAGCTGAGTTTAAAAAGGCAGAGTAGGGGCGCCTGGGTGGCGCAGTCAGTTAAGCGTCCGACTTCAGCCAGGTCACGATCTCGCGGTCTGTGAGTTTGAGCCCCGCGTCAGGCTCTGGGCTGATGGCTCGGAGCCTGGAGCCTGTTTCTGATTCTGTGTCTCCCTCTCTCTCTGCCCCTCCCCCGTTCATGCTCTGTCTCTCTCTGTCCCAAAAATAAATAAACGTTGAAAAAAAAAATTTTTTAAAGGCAGAGAAGAGGGGATATCCAGTGAGGAAGAGACCTCAGAAAGGCAGAGAATAGGAGAAGGGGGCTATTGGGTGGCAAAGCATGCACAGGCCCTGTTTTCTGTGCCCTCTTGTGTCCTCCTTGGACACTGATGCCCTGCCATGAGGGGAGCCCTCCCCAACCACCTCCTGAAGGAAAATCCACGCTCTTCTCTGAAAGACACTCTGAGCACTCTTCTGAATCTGTGAGAGGAAAACTACCTCAAGGTGTGGGAATTACCGGGAATGACAGAAACCTGGGCCATTTCCCCCACTAAATTCCTACACACAGACTCAAAAACCATGATTCTATTTTGGGCAGTCAAGTGCTCAGGAAGAAAAGTGCAGGAAATGTGAAATGAGAAGGTGGCAGCAGAATTCCCATCTGTGCAGACACTGAAAGGCTTTTATTTCAGAACGTGAGAGAGAAACTCGGTGAGTCCCTGCAGGGATGGGTGGACGGGCTCCAGTGTGCAGGGCCCAGAGAACAGCCAAGATGGCCATGGCCATTTCCAAACATCCAGGGTCATCAGGCTCCTTTTGTACATGTATTGGTTTGTTGAAAGAGAAGGAAATGTATTTTTAAACATGTCCCCTAGTCTGGGCATTTCTAGACCCTTTAAAATTTGGAGGGGAAGAAAGATTAATGTAGATAATTTATCTTTGTACCAAGAAGAAAACCAATTTTGAGATGTAGCAATGAAAGGTGAATCAATAAAGTACACAGAAGGTGTGATTGGTGTGTGCAGGCCAATAAGCCTATGCCTGTTGGTGACAGAAGCCTTAAATACAAAAGGATGAAGATACAAAGAGTGAAATGCCAGTTATAGTTATTTATACGGTGGTACAGCCCCAAATTATTTGAGGTTGCCAAAATTCAAGTTGAGAATCCCAACTACCCAAATGAACACCTGGTTGACACCAATGAGCATCACATTTCTGAAAGCAAATGCTAGACCCAGTAGAGGAAGAGATTTTCACTTAAAATTTTTTTTTCCATTCTACCACGTGACACCATCGTGAGTGTGGGGAAAAGAGCATTAATCAAGCTGGCAATTCACGTGAAGCAAACATACACTGCCCATTCTGTCACTGTTCAAAATACCAGAGAGACATGTTTCACAAAGGGAACTTTCCTCAATTAAAATTTTTATTAGGGTATGATAGATATGTACACACATCATAAATATACAGCTGGATGGATTTTCTTGGTGTGAAAATGTCCATGAAACCAGCATCCAGGTCAAGGAACAGGACATTACTGGGATCCCAGACGCCCCTGTCGGTTCCCCCTGTACCTTCGAGGGTAACTACTCACATGATTTCTAACATAAACGGAGTTATAGATCATTTACTCTTCTTTCTGCAAATGCTTTCACTCAACGTTATGTTTGCGAGATGAATTCACAACATTCATTCATTCTTTCTCATTGTTGTATAGGATGTATTTACTTAAAATGCTGTGATTTACTCATTCTATGGTGAGCAGGCCTGTGGGTTCTTTCCAGTTTAGGACTAACTCCATCAATGCTGCTGTGGAATGTTCTTGTACATGTCTTGGATTTGTTGGGTTTATACCAGGAGTGGAAATGCTCGATACCTTTTTGAGTGTTAGCTCTTCACTAGAAACTATGAAAGTAGGCTAGACGCCGGAATAAGACCACAGGAAAACCCAGTCCTTGTTTGCAAGGACCTCACAATCCAGTGAAAGACAGAGCTGAGCTGCACATGTAGGGGTCAAGCGCCAGAGCACCTAGGACAGAGGAGGAAGACAGGCGGTGAGAGTCAGGAAGGCTTCCCAATGGGAATGACACTCAAGTTGACTTTTGAAGGATGAAAAGATAGTGAAGGAGGGACTAAGTGGAGAAGGCTATGGAATAGTATGTAGAAAAGCAGAGATAAGTGAGTAAGTGGGTCAAGGCCACAGACTGCGAGTTAGAGCAATAGAGGAAGGTTGGAAATGCTTGGTGAAGGGGAAGGCTGAGTAGGTAAGTTGGAGACACATCATGAAGGACTTTGCTTTCCGTCTATGGAAATACATACATTATCCTGAATGTGATGGGACGCTGCAGAAGATCCTACAGCCATGGAGGTGCGAGATCAGTTCATTCACGTAGCTATGTGGAGACAAGACAGGAGAAAGGCCTGGAAGCTGAATGGAGAAGGGAATGTGGTATCGTAGCAGATGGAAACTAGGTGATTCTTTGAAGTCTGGTTTTGGCCAATATTCAGGCCAAGAACCTGGATGGGTTCTAACGGAATATGTCGTATGTGTGTGGGGACGGGTGTGTTTGTGGGCCAAGTTTCAATGTGCAGAAACCACCCACAGCAATTCATACGGAAAGCTTTTGGGGCCAGCAGGCCACTTTGCTGACATCCAGACTAGTGCAGGCAAGGAGCCCTCTGCTCGAAAGTGGAGAGGCAAAGCATATGTGTCAGGGACTGATGCCAGAAAGCAAGTGTCCTACAACATGGGGCTCCAGCAGTGGTGCCCAGATCTCATTGTTCTCCGCCCCCTCTGGAGACCCAGACAGAATACTGAGTGGAAACAAACAGGTTCTGATCTCACCCAGCTTCCTGATAGACTCAGGAGAGGATTCTAGACAAGTCTCCCAGCCTCCTTTGATTGAAATCATAACTTCAGGAGTAATATTTTATGCAAAGCTTAGCTAAGACAGTGGCCTGGATGGAGCCCAGAAAATTGGTGTTAGGACTCAGAATGGCTCCTTGCTATGGCAGAGAGGTGTCTAAAATGAAATATAATGGGGGGAAAAAACCTGATTATTAAATTTCCTTCTAAGTATGAAATGTGTAATAAATTAGAAAGTATGAAAAATTCATAAAAGCAGCAAACATTTGTCCCACATGCCCCTGGCCAAAGAAAACCGTTATTAAGAGAGATTTTTCTTCCCCTCTTTCCCCCACTTTTCTTCCATCTACACATTTCTATATAGTTGTCATCATAAGGCAACCTTCATTTTTGCCATTATTGGCATTATCTCATATTGCTTAAAAATTTTCGACCATTTTCTCCTTATTGAAAAAATTAAAATGTCATTTCAAAACTTAAAGAAAATTCTATACAAAAAAACCCACCCATATGTTCCTGCTACCCAGAGAAAACTATTATTCACTCTTAGTACGTCTCTTTCTTGACATTGTGGGTTCTTAACTACAAAAATACTGCTTTACCTTCAATTTTGCAACTTTTGAGTTACTACCATGTATTATTTAGTATCCTTCCTAACTGTATTCCATTGTATAGCACCAGATCTTATTGGCATAATTCCTATTTTTGGACACTTAAGTTTCCAAATATTCTTAATATAAACAATGTTATGCTTGTTCAATTTTTAAAAATACATAGTCTTTACATGGAACTGCTCAGCAAAAAAACAAAAACAAAAACAAAAACCAAAAAAATGTAAAATTTTAATTTTACAATCTATGTGTCACCAACTTTTGATCCAAGAATTATGGACCAATTTATAACACTAGCAGCAAAGTAGTGCCCATCCCCCAAATTAATCCTATAGAAGAAAATGGAATTTTATCTTCTTTATTACTAATGAGGTTAAATATTTATGTGTTTATGGCACATTCTTATTCTTTTGTGAAGTATCTGTTCAAAACATCATTTTTCTACCAGCATAGTTCTGTCACGTGGATGTGCTACTGTTTGCGTAAGCATTGTTTATGAAAAGGGGAAAAGCAAAGTATGAGGACTTCTGGCCAAAAAGCAAACAAATTACTGCATGCGCATAGGACACTGTGACAAAACCTCACTGCCTTCCATCCTGCTGGAGTTTTCCAGGTTTTTACCTACATGTATATAATACTGGAATGAATACCTCTGAGTATAGAGGTTTAGAGAAAATAAAACCTAGTATTAATGTAGAATTCGCTTTTTTTACAGCAGTGAAAGCCAGTAGTCTGAAAACAGATGTCCATAAAGGCAACATAGGCTAAATTTCTGTGTCTTAAGGTATCTTTTTGGATGTAATATAAAGTATCAAGTATGTTGGGAATCGTGCATCACGTAATGCTCTCCTCACATATGCTCTTGGGATTGTGGAGGTCTGATGGAGAATGATGTGTCCTCTGATGCTGATTGTACATGTGCTGGGGGAGACGGAATTGGGAATGTGAGGAAGTGTGAGGTCAGAGATGCTTGCACTCACTCCTTCACCTAGTTCTTTGGAGATCATCTTGCACCATTTAGCATGAATCTCCTGGAGACTGCGTGGAGAAAAATTAGAAATTATCCTTGGTTTTGGATTAAACCTCTCCATGGTTTTTTTTTGAGGGGGGGGCAGATTTCACTAACACATACTTGCGATCAGTGTGATAATGTGAATATAGGTGTGTGCTTATGTATTTGGTGCTCAGGAATACAAGCGTTTTAAACCTCCTTGAAGTTTTTTTTTTTTTTTTTTTTTTTTTTAATGGATATTCCTGACCACCACTCAAAGCATTTGGGACAAAACCATAATATGATAGTTTCATATGATTCTCAGGTGATTTTGATGATTTGAAGGTAGATTTGTTTTCTGGTCTCTATTTTGCTGATGTCTGCTATTCTAATGATCATTCCCTTGTATGTTATCTGTTTTCTCTACCGGATCTTCAACTAGTGTTTGCTTCAGTGTTCTCTTCATACGATGAATCCACCAGATTTGTACATGGTATGCAGCACTCTGCCGATTCAGTGTGAGGTTTCTGGACTTTCCTTAGTTTTGGAAACTTCATAGCCATTTCACTTAAAGCATTGCGCCTTCCCATCTTCTCTTGCTGAAGTTCCAATTAGACTTAAGTTCAGACTTCTAATTTAATTCTCCCTATCTCCAAACCTGTCTTTTTGATTTCATACCTCTTTGTCTTTGCAGCACTCTGGGTAATTTCCTCAGATACATCATCCATGTTATCGATTCTCTCTTTAACTGTGCCAATCTGCTCTCAAAACTGGTCATTGTTCAATTTTATTTACAGTGTTTCACTTTGAGTTGTTCTACTGGGTTGTCATATCTGCCTGTTCTTTTTATGTTCTTTCATGAGGGTTTTTATGTCTCTCTCTCTTTCAGGATTGCAATTATACTTAAATTTATAGAGAGCTTTAGACTGTTAGTTTATCTTATTCTTTTGGTGCTATTCTTCCCACATGTATCTGTCAACTCCCCCATTTTTTGGACTGCTTCCTTAATCTGTACTTTGTATTTTTTCAGCTAGGATATAGTGTCCTTGTGGAATGCTGTGTACTTTAAGATTGGTAGTAGTCCTACAGAGAAGTCTTACACTGGATTTTTCCTGTGGAGTCCAGGAATTTCACTGGCCAGAAATATTTACTGTATCTACATTAATATCTCCACTTGGGATTCCTCTGCTATGAGAATGGATACAGATGTTTAAATTGCCATTTGTTGTGGGATCTTTTCTCCATATCTGATCAGTGAGAATTTTGTCAGTAGCTTTAGTAAGGGGATAATGCTTTATAGTACCTTAATACAGTGAGAAGAGGTCTTTCTGGGTTCTAGCTTTGTGTGAATTTCAGTTGCAAATCCTTATCTTTCTTAGGCCTAAGGGCCACTGCTGTCTTCTAGACATGTGTAAAAAGACCCAACCCCTGTATGTCCCTTAGCCATGTCTGATGTCCTCTGTTCTGGCCTCAACTCATGGACTCACACATTAGTTATGAGATTCTTCTTTATTTTTGGCACATAGAGACCAAGAAACTAAAAGACAAAATTTCTCCCTCCATTCTTCCTTGCCTGTATGTAAAATAGTCTCATTATATTTCATCCAGCATTTTTATGTGTCTGTGACATATAGAGGGATGTCCGTGTTAAGTAGATGGAATTAGAAAGGGTTATATCAGTCAGGTTTGAGAATCACCACCAACAGGTGTGGTAGAGAATTCATATCTTTGAAACTGGAACCAGAGTTTGAACTGTGGTTTCACCCCTTTCTGAGTAAGTTAGGCTGAGTGACTTAAGCCCTCTTCAAGTGGTAGGTTTCTCCTCAGGAAAAGAGAGGTAATGTTACTAGGGATCTTCTTTAGATGTTCTTCCTTTTTGCTCAAAATTACCTCCATTTTCTCCATCCTCCATTCCTACAAAACCTGGGGAAGACTGCAAGTTTCTCATTCAACATTTTCCTTTAAAAAATGTCCTTAAAAAATTCCTTAAAAAATAGGGGCGCCTGGGTGGCTCAGTTGGTTAAGCGTCTGACTTCAGCTCAGGTCATGATCTCACTGTTGTGAGATGGAAGCCCGCATTGGGATCTGTACTGAGCATGGAATCTGCTAAAGATTCTCTCTCCCTCTCCCTCCTGCATGTACTAGTGCACCCTCCCCCCTTCTCAAAAACAAAACAAAATAAAAACAAAAAAGCTAGTTACCATGGGATGCAGTAGAGGTCATTAGGACAATGATCCCATTCAAAGCAATAGGCCAAATAGCCTGCTGTCTATGTGATCTGTGGCAAGTAGCTTTACTCTGTTTTTCTCACTTCTAAAGTGCCTTTAATCCACCTTATTCGTCTGTTCATTCAACAAATAGCACTGAGTGCTTACTTAGTGCCCGTCACTCACGATACTAAATTGAATGATGTTGATAAAGTCACTGCCCCCAAAGAATTTACATTCTGGTGGGGGCAACAAACAGAAAATAAACAAGTAAAAACAAAATTTATATATATATTCAGATAGTGGTAAGTGTTATCCACAGAATTAAAATAGGCTGAAGGGAAAGAAAATGGCTGAACACTCTTGGTGGATACCCGGGCAAAGATTCTCTGAGGAGGTGACATTTTAGAAGGGAATATAAGCAAGAATATATGCCATGTGTGTGGGCAGAGGAAGAGCTAGTTTAAAGACTCCAGAGGAGGGAATAAGCTTGGAGTGGTGAGGAACCAAAGAAAGACTTGGTAGGCAAAAGCCAGAGCACGTATCTTCTATAGTCATAGAGACTTGTAGAAAGTTTTAAACTGATGGTTGATCTGATCTATGGTTCAAGAAGTTTGCAGAGGCTGCTATGTGCAAGACTGAAAGCAGAAATGGCAGGTTAAAAGCCATTGTAGCTGGTCAGAAAAACATGTTTTTATCTGAGGCAAGAGTCCTAGAAATCCATAGAACTGGGCAGATTCAAGGTGAATGTTG